TGTAATACAATCTCGAGCATTTTAGACATTTTTTATGGATTTGGCATAGACTGGCGTGGGTCTCGGACTGCAGGTGCCAGGTCATCTCTCTGTGTTTCATCAGACAGTAGGGGGAGGTGCATCTACGATTACAGCGATCACACACAACACGCTCAGCGAGAGGGTTTTGCATGCCGGCGCTAAAACACACGCTGCAGGGACCAGAGCATCTGTGTCTGAGGTGATTATCATAACCTCTGTGGCAATAGTTACATAAATATTTCACACCTAAGAACGCTTTTGCATTTTTTACACCATAATAGTGGTTGTCAAAGAGGAAAAGGTATAACGGCTGATCTTTTGGAGCGTTAGAGGTTTGACATATATTCAGATACTCTTTATCTGTTCTCTAAAACACCACAATTTTACATTGGGTTACCTCTTCAAATTTTGACACATCTGTGAAACACACAGGCGTCTGCTTGGTTAGACCGGCCTCTCTCTCCAATTCACGAGCTCTGCTCAATGCCTCAGCGTCTGTGATTTCAGGGGACATGAGATGGGCGAGGCTAATGGCAAAACATAGCTGATTGTCTTTATTCTCAACTATGTAGAGAAATCTCTGTTTCTTTTTGAAAATCTCACAGGTCAGAGTTTTTTGCAGCTGGCGTCTACCGCCCCCAGTGGGGCTTCTGACGATCTGAACAACTAGCTCCAAGCTCGCGTCTGTTAACACAGAAAAGTTGGATTGGATCATTCTGTCTAGTAAGTCTTGAAACTGCGTTAAGTCTAGCGCTTCAGAAGCGGAAGCGATCACGGATGCTCTCGATCTAAGCATTTGACCCTGTATTTCTACCTGGATATGGTCCCCCTCGTGACATTGACGTATAGCCTGGTTAATAAGACTGTTTACGCTCCCCATTACATTGCCATAAAATTGTTCGTAATTAACCTCGTGAGTTTGATCCAAATTTAACAGACGCCTTATTTCAACGTTGTTGAATCGGGCCCTATTTACAACTGTGGTTTCAGGGACTGTTATACCCGTTGAGGGGGTCTCTTGTTCATTTTGGGTGCTTTCTGAGTGAGCAACAGTTTGTTCATTTTGGTTAAAACCCTGGCCCCTTTGCCGTTGAGAGGCATCTCTTATTTCATGCAATAACGCACTTACTTGGGCATGTAATATGTCTACGGTGTTACCCCCATCTACTGGCTGAACATTGTCAATACGGTTTAGGGATGCCTGTGTTATTTCCTGCAGTAGCGTAGTCACATGTGCTTCTAATATGCTTAATGTATTAGACCCCTCTGATGACGGAACATTGAGAAAACATTCATCCTCGGACATATTACGCAGATCTTCATCCATCTTAATTTTTAATAACACTGTTGTTGCTATAACAAGCGAGAATATCACCCATTAATTGGAAGGATTCACACAACAATCGGTTCAAATGCATTAATAACGTGTTCGAGTGACACCTAGTGTATGGATTGAAGCTCCGGTCATTTCGTCTTCCTGGACATCCACAACCACGTGCCTGTGGGCCCCTCCTCCTACAGGAGCCTGTACGGGTAAATAAAAACAAAGGTTAATACAGGATGCTGATGAATGAGGATTTTAAACTACGTGCAGAAATAATAATAATAATAATAGGCTTACTTGAGGAGGAGTCAGAAGATGGTGAGCGCTCCCGTTTTGCACGGCTTGATCGGAACGAAGCCCTGCTCAAGCGTGGTTGCTCTGGCTGCACCGGTGCTGATTCTCCAGGAACTGCTTGATTCAATGGTTTCTGATCAGGCTCGCCTGGAGGGGGCGCTGTCTGAGTCGTCTGATGCTGCACAGCTCTATCCTGAACTTCCAGTCCCTCTTGATTGTATCGCTCTTCTTCCTCACGAGTGGGGGACTGCATCAGCAGTACGTCGTCTGGAACTAAAAGTTAATATGCGCGGTAAGAACACTTATTATATATATTTAAAAAAGGTATATAAATAGAGTTAACCGAGAGAAAATGAAAATACTCACTTTCCTGAGGGTCAGCTAGGGGTGGTTGATGCTGATTACCCGAATCTTTTTTAGAAAGAAAAAAAGAGAGAGTTGAGCTGTATTGTCTACACACACGCTATATATATAATTTTAATCCAGTTTTGAATCTTTAAACTTACCGAACGCATGGGGGTCAGTAGCGCTTGTTGTTGTTGCTGCTGCTGCTGGTTTGTTGTTGTTGTTGTCGAAGGGCTTGTTCATACACCCGAAAATAGGTGTCTGATGGGTGTAAAATAGTTTTTTCAGAAAAAAGAAATGAATATACATAGAGTAGAGTTAGTAGCTAAAAAGTAGTAGCTAAAATACTTACTGAATCGGTCTTCCACAGGACCTCCGTTAATACCATTGTAGGACCCCGCTGGTGTGAATTAAACGGTAGCCTTAACACACATACATTTTAGTAAAACAAAAATAAATGTATTTGTTTTTCTTGCAGAGTTACCTGTGCTCATGCTGGTCTTGTCTGGACACCTCTAAAAACGCTCTTTAAACCCATTCTTTAAAGCCCAGGTATTTATAACAGAGTTTATGAAATGTATCACTTACCTAAGCTGTCATGAGTGATAAAAAGAGCTCTGGCTTGCTGTAAGCGGAGTGTATGTTTCTGATAATACCCCGAGTTGTGCTCTCGCACAAAAAAAACGCCGTTTATCTCTAAAAACGTGTACTGTGTTGTTATCTTTGATTACAGAAGGGGCTACAAACCGCAGCATAGCCACGCGAGCGGTTGGGGGTGGGCGTGGAAAGCATGTCGAAAACAAACTGTGACAGAGGTGCGCATTGAAAAGGGTATTGTGTTCACCCTAACTGCTTGGATGTATGTTCTAAGGATAACGCACTAAAATGCTGTTCATTGACATTCTTTGTTGCTACTCTTTTTTTTTTTTTCTTGTAACAGAAAATAAAATGAACGATAGCCTGGTGAGTGGCTGTTAAGTGTTTATTCCACACTCATCATTTTTAAATAGATCAGTTTACAAGATCAAGTAAGGAACAAGTTAAATACTTAACTATACCATCATATGTACCTCATGTTTCCTGAGGAAGCCCCTACAGGAGGAGGAGCTGCTTTCACCAAACAGCTCCATGGGCTGAGAATGGAGTCACTGTGGACAGAGTCTGAAGGCAGAAAGTACCCCCAGTCCGAAGAAATCCTCAGACACATCTTGACATCAGTTGTGTGAATCAGGTCAAACTGCTGCAAAGAAACCATGACTGGGGGAGACCAATAGGAATACTATATTATTAATAACAAATAGAATAATATAAAAATAATTAGAAAAAGACAAGGAATGTGCATTAGAGCACCAGAAATCTGGAGTTTTTTTTTGCAAATGTGAGGTTTTTGCCTGTAACCACTGTGTCTGTGTGGGACCAAAGGAGGTGATGATGGTATCAGCGTTCCACAGTGATGCATGAACAAGCAGCACTGCTGGTGACACTGTTTTATTCAGCTATCACAACACCCTGAAGCAACACACCATCCTATCTGGACTGAGCTTGGTGGGACTTGTTGGCCCTGTAAGGGGTGTTTGTGATGGAGGCAGTATCAGATGTCCTGGCCTCTACAATCAGGCTCAGTGGGTTTGGGGTGAATCGAAGTGCAACGTGAAGGAAAAGCAACCAACAAGTGCTCAACATACAGTGGGTACGGAAAGTATTCAGACCCCCTTAAATTTTTCACTCTTTGTTATATTGTAGCCATATGCTAAAATCATTTAAGTTCATTTTTTTCCTCATTAATGTACACACAGCACCCCATATTGACAGAAAAACACAGAATCTTTGACATTTTTGCAGATTTATTAAAAAAGAAAAACTGAAATATCACATGGTCATAAGTATTCAGACCCTTTGCTCAGTATTTAGTATATTTAACTTAGGTGCTGTCCATTTCTTCTGATCATCCCTGAGATGGTTCTACACCTTCATTTGAGTCCAGCTGTGTTTGATTATACTGATTGGACATGATTAGGAAAGCCACACACCTGTCTAAGACCCTACAGCTCACAGTGCATGTCAGAGCAAATGAGAATCATGAGGTCAAAGGAACTGCCTGAAGAGCTCAGAGACAGAATTGTGGCAAGGCACAGATCTGGCCAAGGTTACAAAAAAATTTCTGCTGCACTTAAGGTTCCTAAGAGCACAGTGGCCTCCATAATCCTTAAATGGAAGACGTTTGGGACAACCAGAACCCTTCCTAGAGCTGGCCATCCGGCCAAACTGAGCTATCGGGGGAAAGTCCGCATGGAGTTTGCTAAAAAACACCTGAAGGACTCCAAGATGGTGAGAAATAAGATTCTCTGGTCTGATGAGACCAAGATAGAACTTTTTGGCCTTAATTCTAAGCGGTATGTGTGGAGAAAACCAGGCACTGCTCATCACCTGTCCAATACAGTCCCAACAGTGAAGCATGGTGGTGGCAGCATCATGCTATGGGGGTGTTTTTCAGCTGCAGGGACAGGACGACTGGTTGCAATCGAGGGGAGGATGAATGCGGCCAAGTACAGGGATATCTTGGACGAAAACCTTCTCCAGAGTGCTCAGGACATGACTGGGCCGAAGGTTCACCTTCCAACAAGACAATGGCCCTAAGCACACAGCTAAAATAACGGAGTGGCTTCCCAACAACTCCGTGACTGTTCTTGAATGGCCCAGCCAGAGCCCTGGCTTAAACCCAATTTAGCATCTCTGGAGAGACCTGAAAATGTCAACCAATGTTTACCATCCAACCTGACAGAACTGGAGAGGATCTGCAAGGAGGAATGGCAGAGTATCCCCAAATGCAGGTGTGAAAAACTTGTTGCATCATTCCTAAAAAGACTCATGGCTGTATTAGCTCAAAAGGGTGCTTCTACTAAATACTGAGCAAAGGGTCTGAATACTTATGACCATGTGATATTTCAGTTTTTCTTTTTTAATAAATCTGCAAAAATGTCAAAAATTCTGTGTTTTTCTGTCAATATGGGGTGCTGTGTGTACATTAATGAGGAAAAAAATGAACTTAAATGATTTTAGCATATGGCTGCAATATAACAAAGAGTGAAAAATTTAAGGGGGTCTGAATACTTTCCGTGCCCACTGTATGTGGAACTCCTTCGGGATCATTACTATATTTGCTTTTTTAAAAAGTACTCGACTTCCTGTTTCTGTTTGGAGGTTTTCACTGGGTGTCACTTAAGAAGGAACCACTTCCTGTGTTGTTTCCTGTGCGTCAGGCAGGTGGGTGGAGGATCACGAAGTCATCCATAACATGATGTTTAACACCACAACAAACCTCAAAGTTCCTCACAAACAGACACTGACCAGATCTGAGTGGTGGGACAACGGCGTCCTCCCCTTGTGGATCACCGCTCAGAACCAGGTGAGTCATGGGTCATAACCTAAAAAAAAAATCTAATATTTTCAGCTTTGAGATGAAGCATCTTCCAGCTAAAGTTTGAAAACTGTTTAAAAATGTGTTGTTCTTCATTTTGTCAGAAAAATGAAATTTTAAATGACCAAATTTGTTTTCACTGGAACAAACTGTAGTCTGAAAATGATTAGCACATTATTGGTTTGGATTCTTGTCATGACATTAACAAAGCTAGAGATAAACATGATCAGGACTTTGCTCTAAATAAAGCCACCAACTAGGCAAAGGGGCGCCACGCTTCAGTTAACATTACAAACTGGAAGTTCTGGTTTCACTTTGGTTCTCTCACAAACAAACACCACATCATTCTCGATAAGAGAGTAAAATACGATGTCTGTTACTAGAGCACGAGCTCTGGCGTTTCCGCCTCATGTCAACCAGTGACAGCCACGTTTATCTTGTGTCCTTTGTGTTTCTTGTTCCAGGGTCTAAAAACCGCTTCCTTCCACTACCCTGGAGGTGGTGCCATCTACGGCGGCCAGCCGGTCAACCGAGCGCTGGTGGAGGAATTCAACCACCCAGATGACAACGAGACCGAGTGGTGTCAGAACATTGACATAGTGATGAGCTGGTTCTCTGAGGAGGACTTCCACCTGGTGACGCTGTACTATGGTGAGCCTGACAACGTGGGTCATGCCAAGGGTCCGGACCACCCAGACAGGAAGAAAATCATCCAGCAGATTGACCGCACCATCGGCTACCTGAGAGAGGCCATTAAACGCCATAACCTGGCTGACATCCTGAATGTTATCATCACCTCCGACCATGGCATGACCACTGTCAAGAAACGGCCACAGGTGGAAGAGATCATCCTCAACAAGTACCTGAATTTACTCAAGCTCACCAGCTTCGAGATCCTTGACTATGGCGGGTTTGGCATTGTGACACCACGGCCAGGGAAAGAAAAGGAGGTCTTTGACTCTTTGTCCATTGTACCCAACCTCACGGTCTACAATAAAAGTCAGATTCCGGAGAGCTTCCATCTTGGCAGAAGTGAGCGGCTGCCTCCCATCGTAATCATGGCTGATCTGGGATTCAACCTGAACTCTGTGAGTTTTACATCACACTTTCAGTTTCAATTTCTCCGATCAGGCTTTTTCCTTTCACTGTCATCTTCTCAGGTGGATTCTTGCTTCAGAAAGGTTTCTGATGACAGGAAATGGGGGAGAGAGCAAAACGGAACAACCATGGATGTATTAATGGGAGCTGGATAATAGATCACAAGATGACTACCAATCCATGGAAACTGTTTGTGGTGAAAATTCCCCAGGTAGACAGACGGACAGATACTTGGATATTCGCACACTCCTGTGCTTTTGGGCCATTATGAACATTAGCACTAAACTATTGGGTCCCACACATGTGAATGCAATAAAATAGAAATAGCCGACAGCTGTTCTAGACTTTCAACTCAATACTAGACTCAGTGGATCAAATTAAGATGATAAAGAATAATTTTGCAGTTTTGTCATACTTAGAAAAATGTATTCACCATTTTACAACTGCTCCTTTTCCGGTGGCTCTTGATGGGAAAACGTTTTTGGGCCAGTGTGCGTCATGTGACCAACACTGGAGTTGCAGTAATGTGGTCTGGCCACTAGACCAAAACCACTTCTCAGCCCAGTGCCGTTCCCAGGGTTACAACAGGGTCTTACTACTGGACTCAAACTGGGCATTTTGTTTCTCGGTGGCTCTACTCTGAAGTAATGTCACACACCTCTGCAGCTCTCTGAGCTTTTAAAAACGCCTCAGGAAGCCACGAACACAGTTCATTTGTTCTGTTGCTGTTTATGACTTTATTCAGATGTTCTAGGCTTTTATTGATTTACTTATGTCCTCATCTATTTTAACATTTCACTGATTGTAATCAAATAATTTATTCTCAACATTAGTTTTTAAATGTGCTTTATAATTAAATTGGCTTTAGTCTAAACTTTTACCTCTAGTAGTTTGAGGAACACAGATCGTGAGGTCGAACCAACAGGATGTGATCAGAGCAAACAGAGGTGTTGTAATTTTGTTTGTCTTTGTCTTTCTGCTCAGAGATTCATTGTTTACATCAACAAAGGCGATCATAGCTTCCATAATGGAGAGATGGACATGAAGGCCATCTTCAGGGCCTTCGGACCAGACTTCAAGAGGAACATCCTGTCTGAGCCATTTGACAGCATCCACATCTACCCTCTGATGTGCAAACTGCTGCAGATTGAGCCGGCGCCGCACAACGGATCACTGACAGTAACTGAGAAGCTGCTGCTCAGTGGTGAGTCTGTTTCATCCAATATTTCCTGTCTCTGTGCTGATGCTGCTTCCAGGTACTGAAGAAATTGTTTAAATCGTCCTCCTGGTTTGTAGTCACATGGATTAAGAAAGCATCATTCAGTGAACAACCAGAAAAACTTTGATGTATTTGTACTTCACTTGAGTATTTCCATTTTCTGCAACTCCACACCTAGACTACCTCACTACAGTTCAGAGGCAAATACTGTGGGTATGACCCGTCTTCATCATCCTGTGCAGCCATCCTCCTCACTGTTCCAACTGTGTTTTCCACTTCATATTTGGATCCAGACACACACTTCCCCGTGTCTATTCTACGGACTATGTAGAAGTAGTCAGAGTACTTCGTGTGTAGCAATATAAACTCTGACGCGTCTGTTTGTTTTCAGGTGGATGGCAGAGAACTCAGCTGTCTGTGGCTCTGCTGCTGTTGCTGCTGCTCGTCATGTTCACTGTGCTCTGATCCAGGATCAGCTACAACATCTGCTTTTGTGGTTTTAATTGTGTTACTGTCACTGTGCACTGACCTTATCACACTATGTAGATGAAATATTATTGGTGATATTTATGTATAATACTTACTTATGATCATTTCTTTTCTATTTTTCCACAAGTAATTTGCAGGATTTTTCATTTTGTGAATAAAATTAAGTCTGTGTGTTGGCTGCTGCCATGCTGATCGGTTTCTTTGGCTCAGTGGAGAGAGGTGTTACAGGAACAGTTCCACATATTAGGAAATGTTTATTCACTTTCTCGCTGAGAGTTTCAGCTTGATGCCACTCTAAAGTGTAGTTAGCTTAGCTTAGGATATTGACAGGAAACTAGGCAACGGCTAGCCTTGCACTGTCCACAGCTAACAAAACCCACCTACCTGCAGCTCACAGGTATAAAGTCTTTGGGACAATGTTACATTAAACATCTTTGCTTATATGAACAGATGAAGACTTTACAAGAAACAGGAGGCATAATGGTGGATTCACTGAGTTGTAGTGTATAACTTGAGCCCAGTTTTTGAGCCTACATTTGTTTACCCTGAAAACTAAGTAATTCTGAATGAGCTGTGATCAGCTCCTCTTTGCAGTGTCCCAGTGGATCTACAGATAAATATCAGTGGTTTACTGTGATACTGAAGAAAACTTAAAAACATGAGGATTCCCAGGCAGGTTCTGCAGATCCAACAAATATTTTTTCTAAGAAGACCTGTGGGTGTTTATTTGCAGTGGACACCGTAGAAAAATGTAACTCACTAAATCTAAAAAGGTTTTTGTGAGCTATGACACAAACTGCTAAAATTGGTAACATCCTCCATGTGCATCTTTGCTTCTCATCTTGCTCGCTACTCCTCGCTCACAGTTTAAACCTTTGGAATAAAGCCAAACTTTTCACAAGTGGAAATCACCCTAACAGTTAAAAAAAAAAAAAAAATTACGTGCTCAATTAAAGAAAGCGAACACTGAGGAGAAAACCACCCGGTATACAGTAAATAAACTTTTTCTGGAGTAGAAAAGTGTTTCTTCTCACTGAGACAAGGCGTTAGATCCGACAAACTCTGGTCACTGTCACCAAACTGATTTTATTGAAAATTTATGAAGAAACTCTGAAGACAGCATCATTCATTCAGCTGCTGCAACAAGGTGAGGCACAACAGTGATCGCACACACTCTCACACCCACATACATAAAAAAACCACAGACATAAAAAAACGTAAATCAGTATGACGAATTAAATAAAAACTGTCCCATGTTGGACCTGTCAGAGGTGGAGAGCGT